GGCTTGCCGCGAAGGAGGCGTGGTCCCGACACGCGGCCCCTCCCGCCGTGCCGTGGCCTGCGGTGGCGGGCGCCCATCGCCCCCTGTCGGCCGAGACGGGAACGGGCGCGGGGGGGGTTCGGAAAAGGCGCTGTCGCCGTCCCTGCCTTTTCCTGATCAGCTGAGAGTTTCTGCTGTCGTCAACGGGGGAGGGAGGCTGGAAGCGGCAGGATGTTGGGCGATTTGCTGCTTTTCGGGTAAGGAGGGCTTGCAAAGCAACCCTGGTTCACCTTTACCCCCCCCCTTGGCAAGCGCTGGGGAAAGCTGCACCCGAGGGGTCTCTGCCTGCTATCAGCGGTGCAAAGTGCGGGGCGTGGGGGGGGCGAAGAGGGGCCCGAGCCTTGGACTTAGGGTACTCGGAGAATCGTTGGGTAAAGCCTCTGCTTTATTCCTCCCTCCCCATTTCCCTCTTTGGCTCAGGGTTCAATCAAGGCCTTCTGGTGCCCAATCAGGTCTTCTTGGGCTACAACTCCCAGAAAGCGTCTCCCCGAGCTGGGCTGTCCAGGATTTCTGGGAGTTGTAGTCCAAGATCACCCAGGCAACCAAGGTTGTGAAGCACTGGTCTGGAGAGAACCTGGGGTCCCCAGATGTTCTTGGACTACAACTCCCAGAAGCCTCCACCCGCTGTGCTGGTTTTCTGGGAGTCGTAGTCCAAGCACATCTGGGCACCCCAAATTTGGCCAGTACAGGTTTTTAAGGCATTCGGGGAGGGCAGATGAGAAGCTGAGAAAAACCTTGCTAATACTTTTTTTTTTTTGCATCACCCAAAAATTAGGACGCTGTTGGTTAATGCTGGAGCTGTCTTGAATTTCCGGCTGTAAGTATGGTAGAAACCCAGGCGGCTTTTTTGGGGGGATGGTGGGAGGGCTGATCCACGGGGATCTGGAGACGTGGAGTTTCCCTCAAGGGACCATGTCCAAGCCAAGGAACGGGACGGCTCCAATTCCGGAAAAAGGGGTTCATCAACGGGCCCAGGTTTCACCTAATTAAGAGGACAGGTCGGGAGCAGTTTCGAGAGTCAGCGCCCTCGGATCAGGCGAAGGGATTTGATATGACACGAAACACACAAGAGTTGCAGAACACCTTGATAGACCATTGGGGGAAAAATATCATCCCACCTGCGCTTCGGTGTAAAATCCCCAAGTTTTGGGCTGATTCCCATACGAACGTTTCCCGTTCGCCAGCTGTTGGGACACACCGGTGTGCTCGCTGGCGTCTGGAATAAATCCTTTACATGTCTTTTTTTCCCCCCCTAGGAAGAAGAAGGAAAGTCAAGGGTTTGGTGAAGAAATCAGAGAACCAACCACAGGTGAGAAGGTTGGCGGAATGACCAGTGGCCGCCAAAATAGCCCCAACGAACCTTTTGCCAACAGCTTTCACGTTGTTATTTATTTAAAATATTTTCACCCTGCCTGTCTTCTTCAAAGGACCCGCCTCAGCCATGAAAATACTTTTTTTAAAAGCTGAAAACAGCAAGTGTACAAATTGGGGGAAAGGAACCAAGCAAGCGTTCCGTTAAAAACTGTTGATAAAATCAGTACGGAAAAGACATTTTAAAACCACAGAGCACTACAACTCATTTAAAAACAAACAAACAAATTAAAAAAAAACCCAGTGTTCAGCTGCCAGTCACACAGGGAAAGCTTGTCTGAAGAGAAAGGTCTATTTGCCTGCTTGCAGGACAGCCAAGTGGGAGGGCATCCTGGCATCCAGTGGGAGGACATTCCAGAGTCTCAGAACACCAAATTAAGCTCCTTTAAGTAAGAATCACATATAGATTCTATTGTGCCTTCTTGTGGTAAATCCATCGCATTGGCTCAGTCTGATGCCTTTCAGAAGGGGTTCTACCTATGTTATTTTTTTTATCTCAGTTGGAAATGTAGTCTAATTATCAATGATTTGTACAGACATCTAAGTAGAAGATGCTCTACGAAAGCATCAAGTCCTAAACGGCTCGGGTTCAGGCTGTCTCAAAGACCACGCCTCCCTTTATGAGCCTGCCTGGGTGTTAAGATCATCAAGAGAGGCCCTTCTCTCAGTCCCATTATCCTCAAAGGTGCATCTGATGGGGACTTCTCTATGACTCCCTGCCACTGGAGGCCCACCTGGGCCCGTCTTTGCTTTCCTTCCGCAAGCAAATAAAAGACCTTCCTCATCAGGCAGGCTTTCCTTTAAACAGCTGTTTGACCAAGGTTTTTTTTTAAAGGAGCATTTGATTCTGTGTTTTATGTGTGTTTTTAATGTTGTTCATATTCCGAGTTTTTAATACGATCCTTTAATGCTTTTTCAACGTTGTAATAGGTTATTATTTGGCTTTTAACTTGACTTCTTTTAAATACGGCAAGCTGCCTTAGATCTTTTGGGAGAAAAGCAGAAGATAAATATTTTAATTAAGTAAAATTTATCTGAATGCTAGCATCGGAGACAGAAATGCAAAAACCCAGGATCAATTTTATGCTTTAAGTGGACTGAATTCCCAGCCTGGACCTTGTAGCCCAGTCTTGCCGTGAACCTCAGTAATACTTCTGGGGTGATGATGGAGTTGTGTGGCATTTCATTTATTTTAGATTTTCTTTTCCCTTAGGTGATAATATCAGGGAGTTTCTGCTGAGTCTGAGATACTTCCGGATATTCATTGCACTATGGAATATCTTCATGATGTTTTGCATGATTTTGTAAGTAGGTGGATGAGGGAACACAAGTAACACCATCCTTCCCTGTCTCTTAAACTTGATTTCGGCATTTGTAGGACCTCTGTATCTGCAGTATCAGTATCCACTGACTCCCTTATCCACAGTCTATAAATATTAAAAAGATCAAAAGAAAAGTCCCAGAAATATGTATTTCTAACAATGAAGTTACCAGAACTGGTCACTAGCAGGAGATAGAGACCATGCTATGAATATTATTCGCTATTATAATACAGTACTATTCAGTGTAATCTGTGTTTTCTTTTGATGTAGGGAGTTAATAAATAACTTTATAATTTTTAATTGTGTGAATTTTAATGCTGGGTTTCTCCCTTATTGGGAGAAATGTGGCATATAAATAAAGCTACCACTACTCACAACAAGAAACAACAACAACAAAACAACAACAACAACAACAATAATAATAAAATGATAATAAAAAATAGTGATGAATAATAATAAATAAATAAACCCCAATAAAACGTTTGGTGACTAATTTTCCTTTTCTTCTCCCCTAGGCTATTTGGATCGTAAACCTCTTTGGAGAACTGAGACCGTGTGATAACGAAGGGATGACTTCCAGACAGAAATATTGGCAGTATTGGTGGAAATAAAATATGTTATTTTTTAAGTGTCGAATTTTAGCCTGCTTGGATGTATTAAAAGGGATGCTTTGTCACCAAGTTCTGTCTATATGGCTTTGTTTTTGGTTTATTTATTTTTTAAACCGAACTATAAACTGCTTTTTTTGTTGAATATTCGATAGCCGATAAAGATCCTTTATTTGGAAGCGTTCGCTGGCTTTTTTTAGACCAGGAAATGTAATTTCTAGCGAGATTTAAGGCAAGAAACAGTTTAACTAGAATTATTGCTCCTCTTTCTTGAAAAAGCTGGGTTTCCATGGGGGTCCATTTTATTCCTCAAAATAGAGTTGCTGTTTTCTGCACGGCTCCTTTCAAGGATGATGAGGCAAGCCACAGGCCAGTATCTTCAGAGACCAGAATGGTACTTTCTTTCCTTTTTTGCAAAAAGGGTAAAATTAAAGGCTGTCCTACTTTGGGCATATGAGGAAGAAAAAGGAAAGGCTCTTGGACTACCACTCCTAGCATGCCTGGCCAGCAAAAGCTAGGGCGGAGCCTTCTGGGAGTTGCAGTCCAACATCCGGGGACCCAATGTTCTAGGCCGGGGTTCCTAACGGGGGGGAAAGTATCTCGACGTTCTTGGACTAGCGGCGGCGGAGGCTTCTGGGAGTCGCAGTTTAAGGAGTCCTGAGGAGGCGGTGACGAGGCCCTTCTCGCGCCTCCCACTTTCCCGCCTTTTTCCCCCTCGCTTTCGGCCTCCGCATTTTTCCCGGTTTCTTCCAAACCCGCCTACGTGCGACTGCAGTTGCCGCTGGGCGCAGGCGCCGGAGAGAAGACTCCCTCCCCCCTCCTCCTCCAAGGTAGAGCCAAGATGAGGATACGGTTTCCGCCTCCCTCTCCCGCCCCCTTCCCCTCTTCGGGCGGGCGGGGCCCCACCGTGACGCCACAGACGCGACGCGGCTGCGCCGTGACGTCGCCCCTCCCGCCCGCCGTCGCCGCCGTCGGCGTCGGGCGTCTCCCAGGATGCACCGCGAAGGGCTGGCTCCTGCCCACAGTTGAGGGAGCGAGAGGGAGAAAGCTGGGCCTCCTTCTCCTCCGTCTCGGTCGCGCCGAGCCGAGCGGAGACCGGGCCGGGGCTCCTCCCCCCGGGGTCCCCGCGGGGCCCAGCTAGGCCTAGCCCGGGTCGGTTCCCTCAGGCGCCTTCGTCCCTCGCCATCCGCGGTTCGCCAGGACCCGCGAGAGCGCGGCGGAACATGCGGCCCCGGTGGCCCCCCGGCGAGTGAGGCGGAGGGAGGGAGGGAGAGAGAGAGACCGGCCAGGGCGGAGGAGGAGGGAAGGCCGGGAAGGGAAGGCCAGGCAG